ACTGCTGCTGTGCACTCAGCTCAGGGGTTTATCCCCAAACACTAACAGAGTTTCATCTCTTTTTACTGATGATCTATTGGATCCAGATCAAGACTCAAATCAGGTCCCTTCAGAACAGTCTAATATTTGCTTTTCACAATTCTTTGGTCCTCTTAGATGTATATTTTAGGTTGTTATCCTGTTGGAGAACCCATGTCCTGCAACTGAGACATAGCTTTCTAACACTGGAAATTATGTTTCACTCCAGAATGCCTTGATAATTGTATGATTTCATTATGCACTACACAGATTTCAGCCAGTTGATGCTAGAGGCAGCTCAGCAACACATGACATCATGGAGCCTCCTCCATGATTCTCAGTAAGAATGGTACTATTTAAAAGCTTTATTTGGAAATTACATCCTGTGACAAGACCTTTAACACCATAAAATAGCATCTGCCTCTCCCAGGTTTCTTGGGAAGGACTAGATAGGTAGATAGAAAAGTCAAATCCAGTCTAAACATCCACTCAATCTCTCCATGAAAAAGAATATAAAGTATATTTAAAACCACTGCAAATTTGCAGATTTTGTTACTGATTCAAAAATTTTAGACAAAAAGTTATCACAGTTATCACTTTTGGCTTAAAATTAAGACAAATATTTAAAGACTCACCTCCATTTTTCCCCACTGTCCTGAAGCATTGCCAAAAAGTCCTTAGAAAGGATGTTCTATTATGGGGTGTAGCTTGGACAAAGTTGAACTCTCGGAACAAAATATGAGTTCCTTGACGCACACTATTAAAGCTATAAAGAAAGAAAATTAAATCAGGGTCAGCCACTATGAAAGACATTAAGATATCACACACTCTGGAAAACACATATAATATCTACAGATCTATGCTTATAAAAAATAAATAAGTCTCAATACGAAATTGCTGTTAACATTCAGTTGCTTATATATCAACAAATTGAAGATTCAGATAAAGTTGTCATAGAGGTTACATATAGTCAAGAAACAAAGAATTAATTAGGAAATATTATCCTTTCACAAGACAGACTGGATAAGGAACAGCCATTTCTGAAACTATTATTTCTAGTTATAGGGTGATTAACTTACATAAAATACAAGTTGTAGATTCCAAGAACTGTTAAATATACACTTATCATTTTGCTTGACAGAAATGCTGCATGTTTTGCTTAATCTTGATATATTTACCAAGATAATGAGCTGTTAATTGAAAAATCTTTTATCACATGAGAAAGTTTTAAAATAAGAAAAAGTAGCAAGGCACCCAGAGTTAGTTTTCAAATGCCAAAATAAACATCAAATATATATTTCAGTACAAATATTACCTTTCCACTTATTGTATTAGGGGAAAAAATAATCTAAAAACAAAATACAAATATCCAAGTAACACACTAAATAAATAAACCAATTCAGCAAAATGTTTTCCTGTCTGAATAATCCTGTTTTTTGCCTTCTAATGAAAGGGTATCTATCAAATACAAAGCTAGTCTGGTTGGCAGGAAACTCTCAAACCTGGGAATAATGACTGAGATGACTTTCTGCCTTAGATACTCTAACTATGATGAGATAAACATAGACTTCTTTTAAAGACTTTCAGAAGGAGTGACGTAGCATCTTTTCCCACTAATAAATGTTACTAAAAAGCACACACTTTTATGAGCTGTTAACTCATTTGTTCAGCTAAATAAAGTGGCTAGCATGATGTAGGATTAAAAGTGAATGAGCCATGGTGGAGGGGTAATGAAAAACTGGTTGGTTATGCAAATACAGTTACTTGCAGAGGTGGGATTCAAATTTCTTAACAATCGGTAGTGTGGGTGTGGCCTAATTTGTGGGTGTGGCTTGGTGGTCATGTGACTTCAAAACAGACAGAAAAATAGCAGCCACCCTTAGAAAACCCCAAAGATAAAATTGACCTGGAAAACCAAGGCATATATGAAGTTCCCTGTGCATCATGCCCTGTCACATACATTGGACAGACCAATAGAAGAATAAGTACCTGCATGGATGAACACAAAAATGCAGTAAAAAAGCTGGAACACACTTCCTCACTAGTCCAACACATGAAAGCCACAGGTCATAGCATCGACTTCAATGGCACCAAAACCCTAGCCACTATAGAAAACCCCAGCTGCAGAATTATCAGAGAAGCCATAGAGATTGAAAAAAGACCTGAAAGCATGAATACAAGAGATGATTCCACCAGACTGTCAATTATTTGGAAGCCTGCACTCACAAACACAAAAATCTCCACACCACAAGCCAGGAAAACACCTGGGCACAAACAAATCCCCCCAATACCTCCAGCTCAAACACACCCCAACCAGGCACCCAGATGAAACCTAGCTTCCTAATAAATGATAGCCGTCCATTTACTCGGAGCCAAGCTGCACTAAAAGCCTGCAATACAGGAACACAATGTTGCCAGCCAATCAAGACAAAAAAAGCCACAAAACAGACAGAAGATATTAGAAACACCAATCAAGTAGAACACAGCAAACTCCAAGACCAATAAACACAGACCAAGACTCTCAACCAATCAGGATGAAGAAAAAAGCAGTAGGCTAGCACCAAATTTAAAACTGAAACGGCTGTGAAAGTCTGACTCACAGACGAGCACAATACAGAAACCTGATGATGGCAGATGAGATTCTGCCGAAACGTTGCTACAACTTTAAAAGCACAACTATAATGACATGGGAAAATATCCGAACAAAGCTGATATATATATATGATCAATCCATTCCAGTTACTAATGGATCCAGAGGGAGTTGGGAGTTATTCCTCTTGGTCTGCCTCATGATCCAGCTGAGTCCTTGGCCATATATTTTTTTCAATGAGAGGATGGCCAAGGCTTTGGATCAGATTGGACCTAAATGGCTTCTTTTTTCTCATGGATTCTGTTTTTGAGATGTAAAAAAAATCAGACCAAGATAAATCACTTCACCATTTCTTCCATTTATATAACATATAAGCCATACAATTTAATTGAAAAAGAAACTGAAATCTTTTAGGGGTGAAAAATAACAATGACATTGTGGGCTGAGAGAGAATAACCGGTCAAAAGTTGCCCAGCTGGCTTTCATGCTGAAGGCAGGACTAGAATTCTCTTGGTTTTTAGCTTGATACTTAACCACTAGACCACACTAAATTTCAGAGCATAGAATGTTTTTAAATTAATTGATTAATTACAAGTTAATTTATCTCAGCAGTTTTCCAAACATTTCTCGATTTGAATTCCTATTAAACAAACAATAAAAATGAAAATATTTGGATTTGAATCACCAAGTTCAAGGTGTGCAAATTTGCTAAGATATTTCGTAAATAAAATAATAAAATCCACTCTTGAGTTTGAAGCTGGATGGTTGAGATCCAATGAAGTGATACAGATAACATCTACTTGGAATGCTATTTGGAAGGTTCTTGAGTCTATGGATTGTGAAAAAGTGGACAAGTTTTGTGAAAAACTAGGAGATAAGCATGATAGTTTGTGAATATGATCCACTCATTTATCTAGTTAAAATGGCATGGGAAGGAACTAGGAGTTCTTTATTGGGCTGCAGTCAATACCTCACTGCAAAATAGAAATGTCTCCCAGTTTCCTTGAGAGAGGTGCTAGTTTGCTCCCATTGGTTGATCCTCAAGGGGCCTACCTTAGAGAAACTGTTCTAGACTCCTTTGATTCCAGAGATTTGGAGACAGAAGAAAACCTCACATTCCCAGCCTACAGTTCAGGAAGCTGTCAGGCACTGGTGAATAACTCAGCCCAGATGACCACTGATTCCAAAAGCAAGGAGCCTGACCTCAGGAGAGTGTTAAGTCCTAACTCATGCCGCCTGCTAAAGAGAGCTAAGCAGTAAAGGTCAGTACAGTTCAAAAGGAAGGGGCATTAACTGCTCTAATTAAGCATAGCCAGGAATTCTGGCTATAAAGAATGTGTTCCAGATACTTCCTGCCCATTGCCTGAAATCAGACCCTAAGCTAGACTGGCTTTTGTGGAAATCTCTGGTGTTTGACTGTCTTAAAACTATTTTTGGTATTCCTGTTTTGGCTAGGAGCTTGCATCATTAGGCATAATTACAAGGCAAAGAAATTTCTCTTAAATTCTTTGTTCTCTGAGTAAATAACCACCCTCTATCTCTGCTTTAAGGTCAGTAAAAGCTATCAGAGTTGTAATTGCCATGCTTGCAGTCTGCATCAGTCTAAGAAGGAAGTTGTAGAGAAAGTAAAGTGACAACAGTGTCAGTTCTGGAACAAAGAAATTATGTGGGAACTTGATAGCTGGGATTCAAGATGAATTATAGACCAGAAACTGCATTTTGGTTTTTTTTCTGTTTATATACTGCATTTATTATTTTTACAAATAGGCAGCAAACACATCCAATACACCTTCCATCTCCTATTTCCTCCTCAGCAACAACCCTGTGACTGGGCTGGACTGAGAGAGAATGACTGGCTCAAAGTCATTCAGCCAGCTCTCATGCCCAAGATGGGAGTTGAACTCACCATTGCTTGGTTTCTAGGTCGGCACTGGACCTAGAAATTTTTAATACATTAAAATATTGCTTACTAATGTAGTTACAATATACACCAAAGTAATACCAAACATTTTTCAGTGCATTGGGAACTGCTTTATTAAATCTGACTTTAGCATATGGGTGTGGGTCAGAAAGCAAGCCTTCTTGGTAGAGGCTCCCACATTATAAAATATACTGCCCAGAGATAAGCATGGCTCTTTTTTTGCCTGACATTTCAAGGCAATGAAAGCTGTTTACCCTTTGTGAAAAACTATGGACAACCTTCTAGTTTTTTGTTTTCATATTTCAATGTTATATTATAATTTTGTACACCATCCGGTGTGTTTTAGAATTGGAGTTGTATATACAGCAAATGTTTTTAAATAAACATACAACTGGATTCTGATTTTTTTTCTCCTCTGCAGCTACTTGCTATTTTTAGACAAGTGCTGCTGGATGATTGTGGATACAAATACTGTGCTGTCAGTGTTGTACAAATCAGGGAAAGGGATCTGTTGTTGCATGGTGAGAGATGACAAGATAAAGAGACAACCAGAATCAAACTACAATGCCCCAAGGGCTTAATTCAAAGACCAGCAAAGTTAATAAAAATTTCATTTTATTTCACCAAGCTTTGGATCAGTTGCTATAACCATGAAAATAATTTAAACCCCAAGTGTTATATCGTTCATTTAAAAAGAGAGAAAGAGAAAGAAGTTAATTTCATATCTGATGATTGCAATACTATTTTTTTACTATTATGCTGCTTTAGTATTATTTAGACCACTCACCCTGGCCAACTCACCACAGGACAACTCAATGAGCGATAACTATACTGTTATCCGTCACTGTTTCTTCAACATTACTCAAATTTTTGTCACTCACATTTTGTCCCTCATTGTTCCTCCTTTAGCATTCTTTTTTGTGCCTCCTTTAGCATTGTTTTTTTTTAATGATTCTATTCCACCATTTCTTCAATATTTCTTTTTATTGAAATATTCAAGAAATGGTATAGAATCATTAAAGAAAGGATGCGAAAGGAGGGACAAAATTACAAAAATTAAATTACAAAAATTAAAATAATGTCAAAGAAACATTGGTGGATAACAGTACAGTTATCCCTCATTGAATTGTCCTGCAGCAAGTTGGCCATGTCAAATTGTCCTGCACTGAGTTGGCCAGGGCAAGCCAGCCGAGATGAGTTGTCCTGGACCCTTATTTAGATTTTGTACCATGCAGGACTTATTAACGGTCATTAC